GGTGCGTCTTATACTCGGGTGCATCTTATAGTCCAAAAAATACGGTAAACTGTATTTCATGTGATTTATATCTAGCCACATAAGCGGGTGCAATTAGAATGCATTTTTTGTATTCATCTTTACAACGTTGCTTTACCAAATTTGACATCCGAATTGTTCATTAACTGCTTTCAAAGCAGAATTGGCAACCCTTTTTTTTAATACTGTGGTCAACTACTAATCGTAGATTTGCCTCATCCAGCAATCATAATGTAATAGTGGCCCATCGCTCACAAATTATAGCTCACAAATCAGGAACAGTGAAGCTACCCTAGGAATTGCAAAGCGTCACGAATGCTGAAGCCAGACGTTACTGGAATGGCTTCCCTTGCCTTTACTAGAAGCTGTTTCTTTTCCATTTTGCTCTTAAAGAAAGAAAACATGAAATAACATGCATTCTTATATTGTGATAATGTTTTTTTTTTCCATTTTTCTTTCTAAAGGTTGGAGCTAAGAAATGTGGTTTGGGGGCCCAGAAACTGAGCAGCAAGAGTTTTAACGAGATAGAAAAACAAGCACAGGCAGTAGATAAACTGAAGGAAGCTGGCAAAGCAACAGAGAAGGAAGAACCATTGTAAGTAGAGTTGGCTTGGCACCTGTTAGATTCTCTCTGTACAGACTTAAATGGGTATTTGAAGTGGCAAATGTTTGAATACCCTCTGATACAAGGAACTTTAGGGATGATGCCTACTTTACTTTGATATAGGCCAGGGGTGTCAAACTGGATTTTTTTGAGGGCTGGATCAGCATTGTAGTTCTCCATGGGCCGGCTGGTGGGAGGGGGGGGGGGGAGATGGGACAGCACCCTGCCAGCCAAAACGAGGGCAAGGGGGGCCATAAGCACTCCTTCGCGCCCTGATTTGGCCAGAGGCACTGCGGGCCAGCCTTTATTATTTCCAGGCCGACCCCACAGGCCAGATTTAAGCACCCTGCAGACCACATCTGGCCTGCAGCCGTTGAGTTTGACACCCCTGGTTTAGGCCCTGGAACTAAGGCAGCACGATGGTTCCACAGTTAAGATGCTGGGCTTGTAGGCTGGAAAGCTGACAGCCTGGGTTCAAGACTTTACCTAGCTCCTGCCCACCTAGCAATTCGAAAGCATGCAAATGCGAGTAGATAAATAGATACCACCTCAGTGGAGAGAAAATAGTGCTCCACGACATCATGCTGGCCACATGACCACGGAAATGTCTTTGGACAGTGGTGGCTCATGGGCTCGAAACGTAGATTAACGCCGGCCCCTGTAGTCGGAAATGAGTTGCGGAATAAAATGCCTTTCCTTCCTGAAACTAAATAATAGTGAAAAATGTCATCATTTTTCAAAACATGATCCAATACCTTAGAACTTAATAGGCTGCTTTTACCACATAAGTATGCACTGTATGGGTCTATTTCTGAATAAATCTGAATTCACTTCATAATCAGTTGAGACTGAACAGAGTTATAATAAAATTCCATTAAAACATGAATATGCTTTTAATTATTTTAGATTGCAAGGAGAAAATGGAGCAAACATTTATTTACATCCTATATATCTTTTCCATTACTTTCAAGGATAGAATAGCCATTGCATTTAAATAAACAGAGCTGCCATTTGGAAATATTCCTCTAAATAGCACACACTTTTCTTGATCAATTGTAGAAATGTTTATCCAGGTTTTATGTCTACAAAAATTTACTAAGCTATCAAAATGGGATGCCAAGCTATTCTCAATGACTTTACTTTTCTTCTTTGTTACATTGATTAAATGCTTGTGTTGCAATTTGCTAAAATTCTGCTAAAAGTTAGGTCGGAAAAAATATTGCATCTTTCTTTGAAGAACTATGTTCTGATATTTTTGATTTTGTTAATGCTGTCAGACAGAAATAACAGTAAGTGTGATTTTTGTCTTGTAAATGAAAACTCAAAACAATATTTATTGAAAGCTTTTGTAGCACATTTGCATGGCTTTCAAGATAGGAATTAATACCACTTCATAGTCAATTGATTTCTTCAGTTAGCTGTCATTTGTCTAATTATTAATCTATTAATTTCCATTTACCTGTTATTTCTTTAATACCTTTAACAAAACATCTGGTAATCTAAGATACTTTCCTATTAGATCATTTTTATACATCTTCATTTCTATTCCACACCATTACAAAGGATTCATTAAATATACCAGGAGTAAATGCTAAACTAGTAATTTGTTATGAAAATCAGATATAATTGATTCATATTATTTTCCTAATATGTATACCTTCATACACTGCACTATCCAACTGTTATGATTTGTGTAGAGTTCTACTTGTTTATAACTTGCAGCAGCTGCCCTCAGATTGAAGATGCTCCAATACTTTCAGGATTATTTTTATTCAGTGTGTCTTCTAAATTGGCATTATATTTTACTTATTGAGAGGGGCAATAATATGGGGAGGGAGTGTTTGTTAGTAGGGATTAATTTAAATGATCATTAAATCCACTATGTATATATTCCTGCCACCTAAACACTTAAGAAAAAGAAGTTCATTTCCATTTTAGACTAAGTTTAGCAGCATAGCTAAATTAGAATAAAACATTACTATTAACTATGATTAGCAGAAGCAAGCAAATGTAAAACTACATTCGTTTTGACTAACCATAGTTAGGTGCAGGCACAATTTAACTCTAAACCTACCTACCTAATGTATTTCTCTCTCTCTCCCTACCTATCTACTGTATTTCTCTCTCTCTCTTTCTGTTCTCTCTCTATCCCTCTACCTACCTACCTACCTACTCTCTCTCTCTCCCTACCTACCTATCTACTGTATTTCTCTCTCTCTTTATATTTCTCTCTCTCTATCCCTCTATCTACCTATCTACACACTCTCTCTCCCTTCCTACCTACTGTATTTCTCTCTCTTTTTCTCCCTCTCTATCCCTCTATCTATCTACCTACTTTTTAAAAAAAATTGCCTCTTCAAAACCTTGGTGTGTCTTATACTCTGGTGCGTCTTATACTCCAAAAAATATGGTATGCCATATTTTTCTGGGTGTCGCATCACATGTCCAAAATATTCTAACTTTCATTTTTTTATGGGTTTCCCTTGGCTTTCCCATATTTGTATATAAGAGACAGTTTAGTCAAGTGGTTAAGGCACTAGGCTAGAAAGCGGGAGACAAGGGAGTTGAAGTCCAGCCCCAACCATGAAAGCCAGCAGGGTGACTTTGTGGAAGCCACTGTCTCCCAGCCCAACCAACCTTACATGATTGTTGATGTGGGGAAAATAGGAAGAGGAAGGTGCCTTGGATATGTTCGCTGCCTTGAATTGTTTGTAAATATAATAAAGGCAGGGTACAAATAGATAAAAATATGTATCTTTACATTTGTGTAAATGCGTAGGTGGGATTTCTCTTTTTAGGTTTACAGCAGTGGTGGGATTCAAATAATTTAACAACCGGTTCTCTGCCCTAATGACCAGCTGTGTAGGCAGGGCTCAGAGGTCATGTGACTGGGTGGGCGTGGCCAACTCAAGGTCACTCAGGTCGATGGGTGCTTCGCTTTAGCTGTTACAATGTATTAAGGGTTAACCGGAGAGGCAGTTTCTGTAAGGAGGGCAATAAAGATTAAGCTAGAAACAACTCCAGAATGTTTCCTTCCTG